AGACTGTAATACCCACCTGTGATGGAAGTTACTGAGCCACCACCACCAAAAAAGAGGTTTACATCATGCACAGACATCCATCATGAAAGCAGCTCCTTCTTGGCTGGCGGCTGGCTCTCTGAGCAACTCCACTGTCATATTTAGGCCTTTTTTTCTCATGCTGGCATTGCATATTCTAGTTCCAGAGTCAACATCTAAGCAATATTTCTCCCATATCTAGTTAAGGACAATTTTAAACAATTCAAAGAGAAGAACAAATGGTTTTGAAGAATTTTTGTGTACAAACTAGGAGGCAGATCTCCTGTAAAATGAAGGGTCTACAGTTGCTAGTCAATAACGTAGACCAATGCTCCGCAATTTTTAATCATAAGGACTTTTTTTATGCAGCCCCTTTGGGTATTTATTTTCAAATATAAACTCTCATTCGTATAGTAGGTCTTAAAAATTCAATCTCGCAAGCCACCCAGCAACTGAAAATCCTTAATTGCATTACATAAATGTATCTGCTCACCAAGTTGTTTTCTGTCAATGATTGAAAAGAAGTCTGAAATATTAGGCATTACAATTCAGATCTTAAACCTCTCCTCAGCACCTTCCTCTACAGCCATTGTAGCGACCAGGCTGCTGAAAAAGGCAACAGGATCTTGAGCAAAAAGCTGGAGTCGTCCAAAGTGCCAGCACATTTCAGTTACTGCAGCAGCCTGTGATCTTACTGCACCTTTGGCAGTACTTAGAGGGAAGCAAGGCAAAGCCTTAACTTGGGATTTCATGGCATTTTAAAGTACAAGTCAGAATTTTAATGGTATTTAAACCTTCCTTATTAGTAGTACAATAAGTGTCTTTCAGCTAGTGTTCAGCAAATTCCTTCCTGGTGGTCTGTAAAAGGCAGTTCTGAGAGTTACAGAGCTGGAGACTGAATGTGGGGTATGTGGCCAGCTCGGGAGTGGGTCGCTCTGCTTGATCTGATGGGAGGACTTGGAACATCTGAGGAAGTGCTGCATTAAGGCAGTGCTACTGCTTTCCTTACCATGGGCTGTTCAGGTAGTAGTGTTGCATGAATATGCTGGTTATGGAGGATTAGATCACCATCATTCAAATGTTCTTCTTGTGTTATTACTGCTTTTAATTAATGGAGATTTGGAAAGTATTTGTCTGGCAGGTGTGAGGAAAAAGGTTCTGTCCCAGAGTGTTTATATTAGGAATTCTAGGTACATCAAGTGAAGAGACAGTCCTATGATAATGTTTTGCACTTTCTCATCCCATTCTTATTTAAATTAGAACAAACTATCTGGAAGGAACATCAAACATTGCAACTACTGTTTAGTGGTATTTTCATTTTCTTGTCCTGCCTAATTTCTTTCAGACATATTTAAAAAGTGTGTGTTTGTACATTAGTGACTGCAAAGGTTACCTAAATTAACACCACAGACTAATTTTGTTTTAAATGGAGGGAGGAGCACATCTGTTTCAAACAGCTTTGTAATACGCCTTTTGTGAGTTCAAAACACATATAGTAATGACCACTTAAGGGAGCTGCTACATGCACAACTACTTATTTGCAATAGTTTTAAGCAATGCAGCTATAAAACAGCACTAAAATTTTGGTGCATTGAAATAGGTTCCTCCTTTCCTCTCCCCTTGAAAATTCAGCCTATGTCACTGTTTAATGGATACACAAACATGAGTTTGTGTTCCTCCCCACGGCAGATGTGTTATTTGCTGTAGAACTGTTTGGATATATCTTTTATATTTTGTATTCATCTCCCTTAGAAAGAGGCATGAAATGTTTTGTAGTTGTAACTAACATTATTTTTCAGCCAGGAATTGTTATAATTATATAGCACTATAAATATAATTGAGATAACTCTCTAGATCATATCTCTGCATTGAATTTAGGGGTTAAAAGTGCTGCTGTTCATCACACCTGCTTAGGAAGGATATAGTTTGGAAATGATCACAAACATCATACCTCATGCAAGCCTAGATCAAATGGCTTACGTAAATAGAGAAATACGCCTTTTTCCATTGCTGTCCTTTCTACAGATAAGGATGTGTACAGCCTGCAGGTATCTACGGTGGGTAAACTGAAAGTAAACAGATAGAAATGTGTTCAACTGAGAAATTTCTAACGTAAACGGTCTTGCCTTAAAATGTGGAAGGATCAAAGAAATGCTTTGCAGAATAGATCCTCCATCTCAGGGAGGAGGCAGAGGACTGCAGTGGTACTGTCTGGCCTCTCTTGTAGTAGCGGGGGCTCGCCATCTGTAACGCACCTCTCCTGTGGCACAGGAAAGCGCTGTTAACATTCGTTTTTCAAAGGGAGAGCTGCGACATGGACAGAAATTAAGCAACCTGTCCATACACGTAAGGGAATTCTTTAAAAGAAAAGGATTTGGAGAAAGCTGTGTGAGGCTGGGGCTAACACCCTAAACCTGTTAGCCAATCCTTGCAAAATTTATGTTGCCAAGTCTGTTGCCACTGAAATCTGAAAGCAAACATTAGCAGCCAAGAACATCATGCTAATTAATTGCCTCAGGAGGACACCATTTCCAAGATCTAATGAAAGATGGAATCCAGCTCCCATATGTCCCGCTTTATAGCCCAAGAAAATGTGCCTGTATTTTTTGTCGAAAGAGTGAGCAATGTCCAACCACACATCTCTCAGCTGAATAAAGCTAATCACCAGGCCCAGAGACAGAAATGGCCGTTCATCAGCAACCAGACTGAAAAGCCAAACCAGGATCTGTCCCTGAAGAACCATTTTGATTTACCATGTTAAAGGCAGCTTCAGAAGGTGATTACTGAGCACCTCTCTGCTTCTGTGTTAGGAGAACAGTACCCAACACTGTGCATGTAGCTACTCTGCAACCTTGCCAGTTCATTTAAAATAACAATAAAAAGTTAAGAGTTAACATGTCATATTCTTGACAAAATACCGGAAAGAAAACAGAGGTCTCCATATCAATCAAGTCAACAGTATGTGCCAGCACTGCCTTGCTTGTTCTTGCTTGAACTTCAAATTGCTGTGAATCGGATGTTCGTACCAGGACACGTGTAGCTGCAGGGGAACAGTGAGGGCTGCAGAGAGAGGTGTCCTTATGGGAGCATGTCCATGTCTCGAATGTGGATATCCTGTCCTGGCATGGCTCTCAGATTTGATCTCTAGAGGCACATGGACTATATTACCACAGCAGTTCAGACGCAGATTCTCAGGGTCATCAGGGAGCCTCACACGGAGCGGACTGGGAGGCCCCATGCAAACCGGGAAGTGACAGGACTGTGGAGCAGGATTTGCCAGACATCAGCGTACACCCCAGGTCTTCATCCACCCAAACGCTGCTAGCGTTTGTTAAATGGTCAATTTTTAGAAACACTGAAAATTCTCACCTTCCTCTGTCATCCTTTATATATGATACATGTGGAACCGATGATCTGAAAAGAGTATCTCAACACCACGTTTAGTGGAAATGGGCACAGTGAAAGCAGGCACACATTGCACAGCAAAGTTTTTTCTTAAGTACTGAAGAAAATATATTTTATTCTGTGTCGGGATTAAAGAGAAAAAAAAGTCAAGGGTCAAGGTAAGTAATTGTAACACACCAGCCATTGTGCATTTCTTCACGATCTCTCTGGTTTGTAGAGAATAATGATATTTCTGAACTTCAACAACTTCCACACAGGAGGGCGCAGCATTTTGACAGGCCTCAGTAAAATGTTAAAATCATAAGGGTGGCCATTATGCAGCATGTGGGATAAAGTTAGACACAGGGTAGTTTTCTGAAATTGGGCTTTAACTTCACACTAGATTTTAGGTGACACAAAACTCCAAAGGCATTCCTGGTACTACTCCTTAAGGGATGAGATCAGCACTTATGAGTGCGTGTTTTGATGACACAGCTCAGAAAATTGAAGTGATTTTTATTATGGAAGGATCAAGGTGATAAGAAGCATGTAATACATGAACAACTCTCAGTCAGACAAGCCAAGAAAGGTCATAATCCATTATATTAATGTTATAAACGTTATCATAAATTGATAGCAGGATGGTAAACTGGTATTCTTGCACTTTTTGTTGTTGTTTTAAAGTGCTGCTGTTCTTAAACTTCACTCTGTCCTTGTAAGACAAGTTTAAATTTTCTCTCAGAATAAAGGACCTTAAAGATTTTCAACATAACGTAAGTAACATTTACATGGAGGTTAGAAAAGCTGTTGTATTTTTTTTTTATTATTATTTTTTACTTTTTAAAGTAACTGGCTGAAGTGTGTCAGCAGAATCCAAGACGCCGTGCACGGATGAGGGAGGAGAAACCAGCAATGCGATAATTCCAGGCTGTTTGGATGCTGTCCTCCATTACTTTATTTGAACCTTAGCCCCTTATTTTATAGGGCATCTATAAAGCAGGCAAGATTTATCACACTTTCAGAAGGTGTTCTGATGACAGTGACATTATGGGCCCTGCTCTCTAGAGCCAGCTGCTGTCCTACAGCTCCTAAATTCTCACTGCTGTTCACCAAAAAATCTGCACTGTGACTGTTGATCAGTCCATATCCTCATTTGTTGTGGTTACTTAGGATCCTTAGATCCTCTGGGATCTCCAATCATTTCTAGAGCCTAAGGGAGATAGATGTTTAGCTGGAGCAGCACACGCAGTGCAGCAGCAGCAACCACCTTCCCTTTTGGGTGTGGGTGCAGCAGAGGGGCCCTGGTATGCAGGGGAGTGCCTTTGCTGGAGAATTTACCTGGGGACCTTCCTGGGGCCTTTCAGATGTCCACAGGGATCTGAGCAATGCCCTTGGGAGGAGGCAGTCCAGCGGCTGTCAGCAGCACGTAGCTCCTGGAATTACCCCAGCTCTTCTCACCAGGGGCTGCAACAGCACAGTGCACCTGAGGAGGCTTTCTTCTCACCAGCACCACTGCCTGGGGAGCTGCATTCACTGCTGACCAGTTAAGGGCCAGGAGTAGATCGTTGCCACCTCACATAAATCTGTTCCCACCACAGGCTCCCAAGAGAGGGTGAGGGGTGACCTCTGAGCCCCTCCAAAACCAAAGCCTCATGTCCACGCTCGCTAACTTTACCTGTTCTACGAGGGAATTACATCCTGCTGGAGCATGGACACATCGGAGGAGAAGCAGCAGCCCAGCTAGCACCGGACAGCTTGGTTTCTGGCACCTGGGGGAGCGGTGTCACGAGCTCCAGAAATGAAAGGGAAACTGAAGGTGAGTTACCACTTCTTGTGTCCAAGGGGAACAGCAGGGTGAGTACTTCTGGAAAGTGCTGTGCTGTATTTACTGAGCGCATCAGACCAAAGCCATGGTTTTATGTCGGACTTAAAATTCAGCATTTCCAGCAGACTCATGCTGATGCATGGTGCGATAACATTGACGCAGGCAGGAGACAGCCACCAGTGAGTCACCACCCGCTTCCTCCAGACCTGGGTGCCTGCAGTAGGCATCCCGTGGCTCTGCTGCTCTGGCCTGTAAACATCCCTGATCTAGTCTAGCTTGTACAATCCACAGATAAACCGTGTTTGTACCATGCAGGCAGATGTTCAAAGTGAAACCAATATGGGCGAACATGAACTGCCTAAGATACTGCAAAGCCTTACTTCAAGTGTGAGCATAATGCCTGGAACCACAGGCAGGAAAATACATTTACAGACTATCAAATTATCTTGGGATAATAGTGTAATGCTTTTCACTGCTGTACTGTGTGTTCTGATAGCCAAGCAAATAATACTACAGCTGGAAGAGGACCAGAATTTCAAAGAGGGGAGGTTTTATAAGCAGAGTGCTTCCAAAAGAGCGACTTTTTTGTGTGTGTGTGTTATTTTTGGGTTATGTTAAAAACAAATACGGTTATTTTTATGACTCGGAACTGCAGAGTAACACCCTATGATAAACAAAACCTTTAGACAGTTTGTCTACTTTCTAACACAACCTGCGAAGTGCTTTTCACTTGCTCATGTGAAGTTACTTCTCTCTGCAACACTATTCTTTTGATCAAATGTGTTTTCAGAACTGGCACGAACAAATCAAGTAGCTAAACAACTGTAGCAGTTTGCACACAGAAGTGGTTTGAATATAATTTTTTTTTCAAGCACATTATTTGAGAAAACAGTTCCCTTTGAAATTTTGGGCTAAAGATATATTCTGTAGTGCTGTTTATGATCTCTCTAGAAATGTATGACACCCAAAGTGCTTTTGGGATGCTCCAAGGTATATCAAAGAGCATTAACTTCAGCACAGCTGGGAATGTCCCCAGATTCACTTACAAATACATATTTCTTATATACTGTATGTTAACTACAGCTAACATAGACTTGGTCACTGAGAATAATCCTCAGAGTAAGCCTATTAGGTGAGATTTAGCATCTACATGTTTCTGCTCACATCTGCTTGCCTGACATATGTAATCTGCCTGGATGTCACAGTTTACATCCTATTTTCATTGGAGGATAATGAAACTTGATCAGTGTCTTCATCTCCTTCCCTGGCTCTCTAAGAAATATTTCTGCTTGTCAGCTCCTCCTTACCAGCACTCTTTGCCACAAACCTTAGGCAGGTCCTTTATTAAAGTGGAGTACATGAAAGCTTGCAAGCAATCAATTTATCATTGTTTGTGCAAAAAGGATGCAGCAGTGTTACTTCAAAGACAGTAAGAAAGTAAAGGTGGTATCATAATTTCCTAAACTGGATTTTCTGTACTTCTCTCATGAAGTTCTGACATATTACTATTTTGACAGCAGCAGCTTTCTGAAGACTTATGTTTCCTTTTAATTCTTACAAAACTTAACTGCAGCCACTTCAGTAATTTTAGAACAGCTTAGTCCGAGAGGTAAATTAAAATTAGGGAAAATTAGACCGTTTCTAATGAGGTAGTTATTACACTGAATAATGATGATTATTGGTTCTGCTTAATAAAACTGTCAGCTAGTGCAAAATATATATTAAGTTAAATTACATTACATTATATTTCGATCAACTCAGAAATTCAGTGCCTTGCTTTCCCACAAACCGCGGGCATAACAAAATGTTAGACAGTGCTTCCTTTTCCAAGTACTTTGAAACGTGAAGCTTTCAAATAAATCCCTTTAAAGCCCTGATTTAAGGCCCATAAGATGCAATGCGGTGAGGATTCATGCTGACTGCAGTGCCGTGTGGGCCAGGACTTCACTAAAGCAAGTAGTGTGCTCTTCTACTGTCTGTGCTAAATATCTGCATAGTACTGTTGTGGCGGATATTTCACAGTATTCTTAGCCTGATAAAGAAAAATTTTTTGTCACATGCTTTCAGCCCCCTTCCTCACCAACCTCATCGCTTGCCAGTTTCCCTGCTCTTCCCTTTTTTCCCATTTCCCTGGTATATTCTGAAGTGGACTTCAGGAGGCGAACTATACTTTTTATTCCCAGGTGAAAGCAATGGGAAAGATTATCTGTTAGCTAAAAATGCAATTCTGCTGTATAGAGCTGGATGTTGGAGTCCCAGACACCGGGGGGTGAGGCAGCTCAGAGACATCGCTGGCCAGGGAATCTGAATGATCAGTACTTCTGTACTTAAGAGCAGGAGATGATATCAGGGTGCCATCAGCAAGGACTACTGTACTGTGAGGTGAGCGGCGTCCCTTTGGGATGGTGACTGCCTGCCTCTGCGTCATCAGACTGGCGGCAGTAAACCTCCAAGGGGAAAGAGAAAGGCAGGGGAAGCCCAGAGACCGTGCCTGCAACCATGCCTCTGCTGCGCAGGGAGTCATCTGGAGGGACAGATTCCTGTGGAATGCTTTGATGTAAACTAAGCCACGTTTTTCTTACAGAAAAGGTGTTTGCTGTATCTACAGTTGCAGTATAATTTATAGATTTTGAGAGATTAAACAAACAGTAATGACTGCATGGCTGGATACACACCTATGCCAATCGACTTTGTGAGCTGGGACATGGAGGCGAGCAAGTCTTTACTTGGTGCACCATGAAAGCTGGAGAAGCACAGATTTTTCCAATATAATTTTATTTCTTTGAGAGTGCAATTGCTCTTACAAACAGCAATGTGTTATCTCAAATGAGGATGATAACATGGTTAATAAGTCGCAGCACATGTAGTTATAAGGTTTTTATCATGCTTTGAAACATTTAGTAATCAACAAGATTCCTCCTTTTATGAAGCCCATTTTGTAGAGTTCCATAAACAAGGTTCAACAGTCACAATTTCATTAGCATTATATTGTTGCCATGGTAATGTGGTACCAATTCAATTGATGGGCTTTTCATCCTGGGCTTATTATAGAATTGCTGTTCTTGTCAAAGATACATCTATATGGAAACAGCAAACAGACTTCATAATCTGAATGTTAGCACAAAATTGCATCATATGCTAATTTGGATAGCAACATATCATGTTTTTGGCATCAGACCCAGAAATCATCTGAGACGAGATAGAAGTTACTAAACATCAAACATGGCAAAGTCTCATTCCAAAATTGGGAAAATTATTTTCATTGTTTGCTGCAGTATCTGAATTTGTTATCACAAAAGTGCTGGCTCTGCTGTGACCGTTCTGGGCAGTGCTGCTGGGGGGACAAAGTGTTGCAGGTGGTAATATCAATGGAAAAAAAGCAGCATCAAATGCTGAAGAACATAGTGTGAGCTGAAGAGATGTTGGTCCTTCTCCTGGGCACGTGTTCTGCAGCATGCTTTGGGGGAATCGCTGCCAAATTCAATGCCTTGGTTTCCTTGTCTGTAAAATGGGGAAAATGACCCCTCTCCCCCTGTGCGGAGCACCTGGTGTATACCCAGTGACAAGTGATATTCTGTACCGCTAAACATTGTTATTAAGTGAAGTAGCAATATTTTTAACAGCTCCAGGAAAATACACTGCAGAGATCTACAATTTGAGAAATGTCACTGGAGAATCTGGACTCACCCAGTGAAACACGGAAGAGTTGGCAGCGCGAGCGTGCGACAGAACATATGCACTTACGGAGGAGAGGAGAGATATTCACCTCATTAAAAATCATGACAGTTTGTAGGGTGTTGTTTTTTTTTTTTAAATAAAGAATGTTGTAGGCCACAGGGGAAGTTGCTGCAGCAATCTGAGCAAGAAGAGCAACAATATAATATAAGGCAACAGCAGGGTGGCTTGTTTATTGTATATAGAAACATTTTCTTGTATTTTTTCACTGTTTTGTTGATGATTGTTTCCTATTTAGGTAGGAAATACCTTTTTCCATCCTGACTCACAATGTTCAGTCTATCATTTCTTAGTTTAATCATGTTGCGTCCTTTACAGCAGCAAGGGTAAATTATAGACAAGATAGTATTCAGTATAATCAAAGATGTGTTCCACTTTATATGATAAGTTCTGTCTGATTTACAAAGGCAGTATCTTCTCCAGCTGAGCAAGGAAAAAGAGACCTTCACTTGCAGATAAAAAAGCACCTCAGAGGAGAGGCTTCTCCTCCATTAGCATCCTATTGTTCATACAAAAAAATAACCATTGTTACTGCTATTATCTGTCTATTTGCTTTTACAATGATATACTCAGAGGACCCAGCTGAGACTGGGACCTCCTTGTGCCAAGCACAGCAAAAACACGCGGAGACTTTATACAGTTTATAAGCTGAAGAGCCAGAAGAATGGCAAGAGGAGTAAGTAACTGGCTCAGGGCTGGAGGAGGCGGCAGTGGCAGAAGCAGAACAAGTCCCCAGCCTGGATCCCTTCAACTGGGATGCCTGTCTGACAGGGGGATGGGAATACTCTGCCAAATTTTGAGGATTCAGACTCTAACTCGTACACCCAGCCACGTTCTATCCCCTAATTTCAACAGCTGCATCTGTGCTGCTGAGCAGGGGCAGCCTGAGGCAAGGCTTGCAGTCAGACGTGCAGCCCACCCGTATTACCTATTAAAACACCTTCAGGCTGGCTCCAGGGCAACCCTGTTAATCCTCCCAGGGACAAAGGCTCAGGAATACCCTATGTTTTCAAGCATGTTCAAGGGCACCAGGGTCATGGTACCTGCCAGAAGAATATTAATGGGTTCCAACACCACAGCCGAGGCAAGAGGGCTCGGGCTTTCTTCCTGTGCGGTAGTGACTTTCAAATCCAAGCCTGAACAGATGGAGGGTGGGGAGGGAGGAGGTTTTGGTCACAATGGCAAAAAAAAGTCAGTTTGCACACGAATGTGAAGGCTTTGATAAGGAACATACATGATGTCATAGATGAGAACAGCATTGGCTTAGAGTTTTTCTTGTTTTTGCCCTCTCCCTTAAAAATACTTGTCATGTAAAATGGCTAAACACTGGGGGAGGAAGGATTTGTCTTCTGATCAGTAAATAATTCCTTTTGCTGTTTGGTGCCTGCTGACTTTACTGCTGTTGCAACCTTTTAAAATGCTTCCACAAAATGTCATTAGATTTTAGCTTTATTTTTTGTTGTTACTATTTATTAAGGAGTCTCAGAAAAGTTTATAGTTATCCCAACTTAACTTTTTAATAGAAACTTCAAATGATGTGCTATTGTGGATTTGATCTCATGTACATATTGGTAAGAATTCTGATTTGTAGTAAAATGTGGTAGCCATGAGTCCGTTGTCACCATATTAATGAATACCAAAGCTGGCAGCTTTACAATAGCAATGTTACAGTAAGCCTCTATTTTGAACTGTGGTTTTGCACAGTGACTGTGGTATTTGTGAAGATGAGGCTTTAGCACCCAGAAGTGATGCCCGTTTTGATGGGATCGCAGGGTGACGGGGCGTGGGCTGGGCCAGGGCCGCGGTGCTGCCTGGGGAGCAGGGGGGCAGCGGGGGCAGAGCCAAGGCCAGAGCCACGGGTGGGCAGGGCCGGGCAGAGCAGCTCCCCTGGGTGCATTTAGGCACCTGTCTGTAAAAACAGGCCCTGCATGGGATGCTCGCAGCTGGTGGAGGTTTCAACCCATCTCAATGTTGCAGCCTTGCAGCTGGCATCTCCCGGACAGGCCCTCGCCATGCGTGGCCACCGCGGAAGCAGCAGAGCTGCGCTCTGAGGGACCGCCTGGAGCCAGCAGCTTCGGGGGCAGCACTGCAAGGTAGGGCCGCATGAAACCCCGGGCATCCTCCAGCAGTGCAGCCCTGCTGCCCGCACCAGAAGCTCCCAGGTCCCGCTGCAGAGCCCCATGTGTCTGATGCTCGGTGACCTCCCTGCGGGTGAGGGCTGCCAGAGCACCACCAGATGCACAGGCCACCGGCTTACCGGCCTCAGGGCTGTTGTTGAGGTCTTCATAGACACAGCCAAGAGGATGAGCAAGAAATAGTTTTATTTGTGCCACGACTTCTCTCATTTTCTTTCCATCCCTTTTTTACATTGCAGGCTTTTTTTTTTTCTTTCTACATAAGCTAATGGGAAGAAATAATGTGCCCTGCTCTAGTAATTTAATTCAAGTAATTTGTTTTAATTCTTATTGGGAGCGTTGGAAAGTGAAAGCTATTGATACATGCTTCACTTCTGAAGCACTAGAAAAAATTACCAGAACAATTCCCTGCTGCTGATGGTTTAGGTGTTTGTAGGGAGAGGAATGAGCCCAAAGGGCTGGGCACACACAGAGGATGGGAGCTGTCGGTGGAGTGTGTGACAGCAAAGCTGCTTTTGATCTATTCCTGTGATTTTCCAGGTGAGCCTCGGACCTGCCCGTGGTTGGCACTGACTGACTTCGGCCCCACCACAGCAGACAGAACGACATCCCACGTCCCCTGGGACCCCGACCCAGCTCCACGTCCAGCAGAGATGCCTGTGGTGCCAGTGCTGCCTTCGCCCTGCTCGCTGCTGCCTGCCTGCCTCCTCCGCTGGGCCACGGCTCGGCCCAGCCCCGTCCCCACGCACTGCGCCGCCAGGCCGCCTGGCATTTCCAGCCATCGCAACGTGCAGCGAAAATGCAATGTGAAACTGCTAGCGTGGCATGAGCAGGCTGAGCTCGGTAGAAGTGCAATTAAATAAAAAGTCGTGCTGTAATACTGGGAGGCTGATTGGAACCACAAGATACCAGTGTCGTATCCTGCGGCTTTTGTGTTGGTAGATGCAGATTTTAGCCATTAGCATTTAGCTATCCAACAGATAACAACCAGAGGAAATGGACCTGGGGATCTCCAGTTGTGAATAACAGATACATTTTTGCCAGTAAATTGTGGACCTGGTAAACTGCCAGAAGGAAACAATTGTTGAGATATGGAAGAATACAATCAGGCATTTAATATGTGTCAGCTTCTAACTATGTGTAACTTAAAGACACTCCCTGATTACTCACAATACATTTAAAACAGTATGTCAAGAGAGCTCTGACACCAGAGAACCCTTGCGTGGCTCTGTTGCCAACTCCAAATACAGGCAAGTAAATAAATAGCAATCACAAGACTCAACTGACGTATCTGTGCGAATGGTAACAAACCCAGGGCAGGTATCACAGTATCTAGGTTTGGTTAGAATGCTATAAGAAAAGAATGAGAAATAAGTAAATAATATGGTAATGTAAAATGTACCTGTTATTAACTTCTATAAAATCTTAACGGCTAGGATTTTAGAATGTGGTATTTAGACAAATGTAAAGAGAGCAACACATTAATTGTGTTTTTCTCCAGAGCAAAATGAAATCGGCATACAGAGCAAATTATAATACTTAATACTTCTCGGACAAATTCCAGTTGAGGATCATGAAGTAATTTGAAAATATTAATGAATTAGCCTCACAGCTAGCTTTCAGGTAGATAATAATGATAATTATTACTACAAACAAATATTATAATTCTTGCTCTGAAATGAAAATTGAGGCACAGAGATTTTATGTATTTGTCCAAAGTGTTTTACTACTGTAACCATCCTTCTCTAGAATTATTGTATGTGAAGCGTATCCTTTTCCAAATACTGTATGCGACATGCTATTCAGTTTTTGAGCTCTAAAAGCCAAGCAGCTGAGCTTCCTTATGATACAGTGTCTGTGAACATCTCCATTTGCATTTGAATTCTCAAGCAGCAACAATCCTGCTTAAACGATATAAAGAAAAAAGGAATCATGAAAATCAGAGCAAAATCTGTCAAGCACCCATCTGTGAGTGGGTATCAGAATATCGCTAAGATGCTTTGAGGAACAAAGTTCACTCCAAGTCTAACACATAGTACTTTTTGTCTACAGAATTAATTCAAGATGGGTGAAATGAGGGCAAATAACATGAAAAACTGTTCCTCTACTGACAAATGCAGGAAAGCAGTATCTCTGCTGCAAGGGTGATCTTGTATTTGGTCCATGCACACTTGCTTAAATACTAAAGGGTTTGCATGGCAAAATACTCAGCATGTTCAAATCTCCTTTTGATAGGCATGCATACCTACTGCTTCCTGGGGAGTGTTGGAGAGAGAGGGCTCTCTGGCCCTGGTGGGATGAGGACTTGGGTTATGGATGCTTGTGGCAAAAAGCAAGCTTTCATAGCCTGCTACCTGAAGCAGTGCGGAAACAAAAGGATAGATTCCATCCTGGTGTTGAAAATACTGCTGAAACCACATCTATTTCCTCCTGAACTGGAATGCATAAAAGTTAGGAACACTAATTTGGTAGGCTATTTGTATCTCCTCTTCAGCATATAAATTCCTGAGAGCCTTCGTCTTAGCTCTTTGCCCTCACACATGCGCATTTGGAATTAACTACAAGAAATAGGAGAAAGCTGGCATTAACATTATTCTATTGCACCATATTATTTTTCCTTCAATTTTTCAACTGTTAGAGTATGCAAATGTTCAGTTAACTGGTCCTCATGTTTTCTCTTTATTGAATTGCTTTCACTATGGCAAATAAATATTCATAAAGAAATGTGGACAATAAATCATTTCCAGTAGTTCAAAGCCATTTTCGTTCTAGACTGCATATATATTCAGCTGTGACTTGCTTTTAATATTTCATTCAAAAGACAGACTTGTAGAAGGACAATAATGATAATGTGTCAAGTAGTAATTAAAACAGGGGTTAATGATTAAAAACATTTTGATCTACATTATGCTCTGTCAAACTCTTCATTTCCTGTGTTTGCTAAGATGACTTTCCACTTGCTTTATACAGAAAGTCAAAATAAACTTCTTTTGGAATACACTACACAGAAGAAAAGATTTCAACCCTGAGTTTGTGAGGTCCAGAGCCCTTGCCATCTGTGGACTTTGGGTATATTTTCTCTACCACATTAGCAAGACAAAACTTGGGCAGGCACTGTTCCTCCCACTCATGTTGTGACTTCTCTGGGAAATAGGCCCACACGCATGGCACAAGGCAACCAGGAGCCAGCCCAATGTCTAAAAGCAAACGTAACCTGTCTCACCATTTAGATTTATGCTAAAAGCTGCAAAAGAAATACAAGTTATAGATACGTGTAGTTTATACATTTTTGGGGTCTTGGTTCAAATCCAATTATCAGAGATAATTCCTTGTCTCGTTATGAGTTTTGGCCACCTAAATATACCCACATATTTGGCCCAAACTCGTTATCTGTCCTGATTTGTTGCTGATTTTAGGCCATGATTCAACAGAGCACTTATGTATAGACTTAAAGGAATTGATTTAAGAAAGCATTCTTCTTTGTGTTTAATCTTGGGCAAACATTCAACTTTAAAATCGATGGGACTTATGATCAGCCCTGACCTTGGGGTCTAAGTGTTTGCTGAATCAGTGCATTGACAGAAACATACTGGAAAAGATAATATCCATGTCTAATCAGAATTATAGTCTCTACTTTCATGGGAAATTACCCATAGATAACACATTATTCTGCTCAAGAAATCCATTTTATAGCAGTTATTAGAAAACCTTAACTCACATGTTCTGTTTATGCCAGAGATACCAGAAGAACCGTGCCTTTCCTTGACAGTGTATCTGAACTATACTTTAAGTGAAAAAATAAAATGCAGGGAATGTGGTAGCACAAGGGACCATTCATAGTTATTTACTAAGACTTTCCCAATTGCCTACTGCATGCTGTCTTTTGGGAGATAGGCGGATGGATGGCGAAACAAAGCGGTTCTGAAATCCCACAGACTCAAAGACAATTGCATGTGAAATACCATATTATGCACTATCATACAAATGAAACTCCCTTCTCAGAACCACATTCATAAGGGATGCCTGCCTGGTCTACATATGGAATTTTGAATGATCACATGTTTTTATTAGACTGTGAAAATGAGAAGAGTAAAAAGTACATGTTTCTGATATTGTAGTATACAGGCTATACAAATGCAACTATGGCTGAATCTATGAGGTTACGAAAAGCAGTAGGTAAAATAATTGATGTTACGTTTCATGAAGATTTTGCTTCATGAAAAATCTTTAAATTTTTTTTTAAATCTTTTTAAGTTTTTAAAAATCTTTTTAAAGATTTTTCACACAAGTCATATTTATTGTAATAAGAATATGGCAAACAGGGGCTTTTAGGTGTGGTTTATAGAGTTGAAATGCAGGCATAGGAGGGGAAATAAATTATGATGGATCCCATCATGTCATCTAATTTAATAAACAATGAGCACAGAGATCATGAGGAGGCACAGGAACAGCCAGCAGGTTCTATCTGTCTGTACAGCCACGGAGGGGTACTGTCATCCACATTATTCCACTGCTTTATGGGTGCAGAGCTTAAGAGTAAGGAACATAAGGAGCATAAGGAACAGCTGTACAGCGGTGACCAGACTCAGTGGTGGAGACTCTCACAGTTACCTGTATCTACCCTGATGCTACCTACTCTTACTTTAACAGTGATGAGTCAGGAATATGCAGCTGCAGTACTTTGTGCTTATTGCATGCAAGCTCTCTGTACTGCCTGCAAGCCACTGAGCCAAGGTCCCATAAACCAAAGGGCAGAATGTAGAGGGAAAGCACAGAGGGACAGGACCTGTCACCTCCTCCTGTATAATTCTCAAATTACCAAAAATAAAAAAGATTGGAGCTTCTGCCCCTTGTCTGTCATATCACCTACTCTACCCCAGAAGAAGGTGAAGTTAGAGCAAATCTGCGCTCTGAAGCAGATGCTGCTTCTGATAGGCTTCCCCCATATGGAGATGAATTGGAAATAATTTGCTTAACTTTAGATCACCTGTTCTCAATGAAATCATTTAGTGCCTAGCAGGAGCACTAAGCTTATAGTACTCAAGGTGAGGAGTAATAGGCCTTTGCTGGCCTGAAAGCCTGTTCCAACGTGAAGGGTCACTAGAAGGTGTAATAAAGCCACACCATAATGTTGGGGTCCTCTTCAGCAGTTCTTTAGTTTCTGATGGAGTCTTTGTGACTTGGAGTTCTGGTTTAGAGGTGAGCTTTATTGTTGATTTAAGCGTCTGGGGTTTCAGTTCTTCAGCTTTCCTGATATCTTTGATTATGATGTTGATTTTGATGTTGTAGTGGTATTTCTATGGTACCTATAGCTTAAAGATCACAGGAGAAAAAAAAAAAGAAAAAAAAAAAGAGAGAGTGTGTTTTCCCTCAGTTTGGTAGTATTTACTGTTATGCTTTTTGAGGAATCAGTGACCTGCTCTGCTCTGTACCAACCACTATCCCTGTATGAAAGTACGTATTTGTCATATTTGTTCTCATTTTTAACTTATAGAGATCACTATTTGCATCTGAAAGTCCCTTTAGTCTGCCTTTTGGCTTTATTTTCTTGTTTTGCTCCCTAATGTTGGGCAAAATTCTTAATAAGTATTGATTTGCACCTATTTTGGCACAGACAGGCTGACCTTTAACTGAAGTGCTGGCTGCTTAACTTTGCATCCTAATCACTTTAGCTTTCTTCATTATCCTTCTTTTACTAGAAGGCTAGCTTACTGTTTTCTGAACATATAATTTGAAGAAAGATGCTAAGCTATCCTGATCAGAAGGCAGGCAGGCATACAGATGTTCAGAGTTTGTTTTTAACAACAGTTTAGCACATACTCTTGTAGCTCCCCATGGAGCAAAAAAAAAAATTGTTCATTGTGATGTGTTATATCAGGTTAACTTCACACCCTGCTGTAGCACTTCAGTTAATGTGAGGTGAAATGCAACACAGAGTAACTTGATATGGAAAAAAAATACTTCTTAATACTCGTCTACAGAGGTGGGGAAAGGAAAAGTATTTTTCTCCTCTTAGCATATTTCCTTTTTTTCTAATTAAATGGAAACTGTGAAGCTACTGAAGATAAATTGAGTGGAAGGAACCTTGATCTGTCCTGCATTGCAGTTTAATTTTGTTACATCCAAAGCATGTTTATCAGAGGGATGTTTGGTTGTGACACTTTTCCTTTTTTTTTTTTTTTTTTCTCCAGTGGTCTGGACCTTCCATAAGCAGGAGGATAATTCCAAGTTATAACAGATGCAGACCATCCCCTAAGACTCAGGATCAATCAGACAGAAGGTGAATGTTCTTAACATCTTAAGGTTTACTTTGGTTTAAAAGTCTGCTTTGTGTTCTGCAGACTGATTAATTACTAAAATAAATGTTGTAAAAGCAGCTGTAGTATGCTTGAAAAATAATGAAATTAGATTGAGTTTGTACTCAAATGTGAACAGTTCACCACAGAGAAATAAGAAGAGGAGTCTACTAATGCCACGACAGTTGAAAGAGAAGAAGCTCTATATGGTAAAAAGGGCAAGTGAGAAGAGAGGATGAAGAAAGGGAGGTAGAATGGAGACGAGGGGAAGAGAGAACAGAACAGGGGACAAGGCTATTAAAGGCAGAAGCTTATGTCAAAGAAACATGCAGCCTTGAGGGGGTAAGTCTGTGATATGGCAGAAGAGGTCTTACTAACTTTCAGAGATGGTAAAAACACAATTGGAAAAGGAGGTGTGACAGCTGGTAGCAAAAATTTAGAAGGAAACTTAGAAGAAAAACATAAGGCTTGCTCTCATTATTTATATATCCTCCCACATCCCTTTCTTTTCAAGATATCCTATGGCTCTGTTAATGTAGAGGTACAAAGAGCACAAGTAGACATAATGGCTACTGTTTCTGATGTATCTTGAGACTAGATAGTTTGATTTGAGATACTAGTTTTCTGAACATGAGGTACAGGTAATTTATAAAAGCATAAGAGAGGGGGGAACTACTGTGGAGTGTATATTGATAGCAAGAGTGATATCTGTATTGTAGAAATTTCAGGTGCTCAGTTACTTAAATAAGATTCATGTTGTTACAATATTAATATTTGGCCCACATAGCCAATCAAGTTCACATTTTGAGTACTTTTCATTTTTTATATTTGATATCGCTGTTGTCTTCTGTGGAAGAAATGTAAATCCTACAATTTCAGATATAATGAATTTCAGATAAAAGTTGGACTAGAAGAAACTACACATGCTGTTTTAATGTAATCAAAACCAGGAACCAGTCTGAATTGATCCTGTCTTCAGTGAAATTATCTGTACTAGAATGGGTCAGAGTCTCGTGGCTCTGTCTGCAAAATGTTTAAAGGTCTCTTGAAAAACTGATAGAAACTTAGCTTTTGTTGTGGGTTCAGCTTTGCCCCATGAATACACTTATGTCAGCACCTCCCTGGTCACAATTCTGGGTGCTTAGACTCTGAGAAGGTGCTGCAAGGAGCATGTGTTGGCTAAAACTGTGTTTTGGGTTTTAAAAAGCCTGTTTATTGTACTGCTCTTAAGGCAAGAGATGTACCCTTCCTTCTGACTGACCACTTCAGTAGTTACTTAAAAAGCCTACAGGAGTTACTGTTAGCATGGTTTCAATATCACTCATGATATAGAAGTTGCTGTTCTTGCTTATTTTCAACTCCTTTCACACTCCATATTCCTTTAAGCTCAGCTCTTTGAGGGTGGTGGGACATGACTGCTTGTGGAGTCAAGGGCTATTTAGCCATCCAGAAAGATGGTTCAAGAAATCTTAATGTAGATGGATGTCTTAGTAGGCTCATGTCATATGCAGTAGCTTCCTCATCTGAGGAGAAACTCTTTACACCTTGGCTTGGGATGGCTAAAGACATCCTCACTGGAAGATGTAAGGCTTCGCTGCAGCTATAGATGACT